GGTAGGTAGGTAGGTAGGCAGGCCCGCTCCGCCTGGCCGTTCGCACGAAGCTCTGCCCGATCCAACATTGCAATCACCACATCGAGCTCCTCGTTGCTAACCTCCCGGTGACTGGGACATTGGTCTGGGCTTCTGGTGTGATTGCCAGAGCCACGATTTGAAGGCTGTTCAGTTCTCCCTTCACCTCCTTGTGCCGAAACTGTCTAAACCGAAAAACTGTTCTTCCTGGCCTTCCTTCCTTGCTGAAAATCAAACAGGCTCAAGTTCCGGCACCGAGCGACAGCCGTTGGATCTCAAACACTTTCTTCTAGGATTTCAAGACGTTTGGTATATTGCTCGTTCTCGCATAGTTTCGATTATGGCATGGGCTACCCATGGGTCCTTTACATCTAGGCCCTGATACAACGTTGACGCAAATCTTCCGCTTCCTGGCTAGTCAACAGCTTTGAAACCAGAAGCTTTTGGGAACGTCTCTTCGTCGGCATCATCCCCCGCATCGTTGTACTGCCTCGTCAGGGGTGTGGTGGACAGCAGGGCTCTGAAAGTGGTATGTCGGCGGGACCCTTTGCGTCAACCAAAGGCTGCCCCTTTCGGCACTCAACAGCCTTTTTGCATCCAGCCTGCAAGAGCNNCTCTGCTGGGAACCTAACGAGGGCTTAGAGCCTTTTTTTTTGGAGCAGGGACTGCAAAGCCCTAAATCCGAAAACCTTGAGCAACAGAGCCGCCACTCTCCGAATCCGACAGAGAACCCTAGAGCACACGGAGACCGCAGCCTCCGTGGCTGCAGCGTCGCCAGCTGCGAGCTTCGGAGCATCTCCATCCTGGGCGCATTCGTGGAAATGGGGGGGGATTTTGGTAGGTTGTATTGGAGGTTTGGGATGTTGGAGCGTGCAGGGTGCGTAGGGTCCGCTTTCTTCGGGGGCGGAGGATGATAGAGGAGCATGTGGGATTCAGTGCACTCGTCCACTTACGGCTTCTGGCTTCGAGTGCCTGTACACCGGGGGTAAATCATGCCATCGCAGCACGGCGGGTGGCTTTTCTGTGCAAAGCCCTCGCAACTGCAAGCACAGAGAAAGACCTCGTATCCAGGACCTTTGAAGGCATTATTGGGCTTCATGCGTGTTCGATCCAGCTGCGAAGGTCAGGTTGTGGAACCGTGGCTTCTTTGCTGGCCCGACACTGCCATGGATATCCGTGCGTACACGCAGAATCCCCAGAACAGGGTTGCTGCAGTGCACTGAGGGCCTTAGGGGCATCCTCCTAAAGCTCCCGAAGCTAAAGAAAGCATACACCCTACCAGACATTGAGCCCAGCAGCTGCTGCTGCAAGGTCATCTTGGCATTGATGTTCTTCTTCTTCTCCACCGGTGGTCCATTCTGTACTTTCGAGATGCCTGGACTGTCAACATTCGGAACCTTTAAGCCTTTGCAGTAGCGGAAGAAACACTACCGGCAGCAGCGGCAGCAGGAGTTGATCGCAGCTGCAGTGCGAGGTAACATATTCTAGCACCATCAGCAACAGTAAGAGGCAGAAGCATCAACACCGTCTTCGACAACAGTAGGTCAGTAGGAGTGCTACCGGCATGTAGGTCGAGATAAGACTCCGGAGTCTGAGAATGGCGAAGAAAAGGGGCTGAGTTCTAGCTGACTGCTCTTTAAAACTCCTCCCCTGCTCGAGGACTTTGTTTGCTGCGAAAGAATGATGCGGCGAGAGATACTGCCCCTGATTAAGCATGATAATGACAGCCCACAACCCCCGAACCCAACTCTAAGCCGCAAACACTCCAGCATTCTTCTGGCATCAATCATAAAGAAACATCACCTGCCTACAAGGGCCAGCGAGCCCGCGTGCTGCACGTCCGGATCCTCTGCAGAGAGGAATTTACGGTTTTTTTTAGGGTTTTGACACTCACACTTTAGGGTTTTGGGGTGTTTATGGCATACGGTTGACTCGTAAAATGGCATCTGAGGGTTGCTACTGGGTTTTAAACTTGGGGCTCCCTTTAGTGCGAAGGGCTCTGGGCTCACTGGGTGTGGGGTACTGGCAACTTGCCACTGTTGACAGGGCGGGGCAAGACTGCCTTTGGATCACAGGCATCCCTTACTTCCCCAATAAGCCAGGGAAATAGAAGGTTAAACTTTCAGCGCTGTGGCTTCAAGAGCTAGCAG